GCATCAATTCTTCTCCTTTGCCCTTCCAATGTGTTATCTATTTCTGACAATTTAGTATTAATCTTTGGAGTTCTATCTGTAGATTTAGTATAATTTCTAATTTTTCATTTAATTTGTCATTTTGTTCTTGTATTTTCTTCCAAAATTCTTCTAAGGGTTTTTCTTTGTTTTCTTTGGTCTGTCTCTCAATCCTTTGAAGACACCTAAAGATAATTCTTTAGAATTCCTTATCAGAGAGTTCCAAGGCTGCTTCTTCCTCAGGGATGTGTTCTGGGTCTGTATCCTGCTCTCTTGTTTCTACCACTTTATCCTGCATCTTTGTGAGGACTGTGATGGTCTGTTGTTTCCGAGGCATCGTGACGTCATTGTATTTAGATTTCTGTTAACTGTTTATGAAGAGCAGCCAAGGGTGGTTCAGCCTCTTCTTGTGGTTTTTTATCGTTGGCCCGTTGCTTTTCAGTCTTGCAGGCCCCGAGTGTCCTTGGGGTTGCTCGAAAGCAGAGCGTGTTCTTAAGCCCCAGAAATCTGCAAGAGCGCTGTCTCTTTAAATATCCAAAAAAGTCAAGCCGCTTTTTAAACCTTCAAAATGGTGGTGTCCTCCAGACCGGCAAAAGTCCACAGCTCAGCCCACCTTTCTCTTCACCTTCTCCGTTTGTTCCCCAGCCACCGTGCACAGTCCTCCGTGCAGTCCCTGGCTAGCTCGGTGATTTTTAGGTTAATTCTTAAGTCCTACCACCACAGGAGTCTGTGAGAGCGCTGTGTCTTTAAATATCCAAAATAGTTAAGCCGCTTTTTAAACCTACAAAATGGCGGTGCCCTCCGGATCGGCAAAAGTCCACAACTCAGCCCACCTTTCTCTTCACCTTCTTTGTTTGTTCCCCAGCCACCGTGCACAGTCCGTGCGCTCCCTGGCTAGCAGGGTGATTTTTAGGTTAATTCTTAGGTCCTACCACCAGTCAGGAATCTCCAAGCTGCCTGTACTGTCAGGGTCACTCAGGGCGCTGTCAGACCGCAGCTCCGTATGTCTCCTTTTTTTGGTATTTTCACGCAAATTCTTCTGCTAGTTGGGGTTTAGTCCACTTCTGTATCCTTCCCTTCAAGGCTCGGGGGTCCAACATTATCTTCTGTGTCTGTGTTAATTGGTTTCCCTTTTCTTTGTTGAAGAGGGTCTGTGCAGTCCTTCTACCTAGTCCGCCATCTTGCCGGAACTCAAGAACATTCTTGTTTTTTACCCAAAACATTTTGTGATTTTTTTTTTTTTTTTTTGCTGTTGTTAGTTGATAGCTGTTTTAATTATTGTAGTAGCAATAATATTGAATTCAGCAAAACACAGGGATCTAATTATATCTCAGTCTGCATCCAAGGGAAATATGACTAGTGAGGGAATTTTCTGTACTATTTAAATAATGGTTGGGAGATCATTTCTACTTAATCCACTCAGAAATTTATAATTACAGTAGTGGGTTTGGTTGAATAACCTGAGTAATGTTTCCTCCAGGTTTTTCCTTAGGCTGGTGGTAGAGCTACTTACAATCTAAAGTAAAGCATAGAATGGTGGCCTATGTGTGTGTATCTGCAAGACTGGCTGGGGCATCCATGTATTGTACCCACGAGCCTTACTTCATCATTGAGATATTACCTACATGTATGTATGCATGTGGACCTTTTGCATTACTCTGATAACAAAGTTGAAATCCCTGCTACCTGAAATCTGCTTCACAACAGAGCTTCTCCTGCTTCAAACAGATAAGAGCAGAAAATCCAACTTCATGGATTTTCCTGAAGCACACCTGTTGTTTTCCTAAACCAAGAGGAAATATCCTTAGAGTCCTTCCTTAACAAAATGATAGACAAGCTTGGAGCGCAAGTAGATTCAGTTTCACCTGAGGATGTGTCACTGACAGAAGTGAAGCAAGGGTTCCTTAGCTTGAGATACATTTGCATGGACTTTTTTTTTTTTTTTTAAGCATAAATTACTCATTGAAGGTAATTGTCAAGAAAATGCCGTGTGGCCTTCATTTTTATGATACTTACACTCACTTAGGGCTGAGACCACAGATAACCAGCTAGGATCTGTCTGTCCAGTGCTTGCCCCTAATTCTCTGTCCCTTTCTCTTATTAGAAGAGGGCCGCCAGCCTTGGCTCTGTGGAGAATCCTTTACCCTGGCAGACGTCTCGCTTGCTGTCACATTACATCGACTGAAGTTCCTGGGGTTTGCGAGGAGAAACTGGGGAAATGGAAAGCGACCAAACTTGGAAACCTATTACGAGCGTGTCTTGAAGAGAAAAACATTCAACAAGGTTTTAGGACATGTCAACAATATATTAATCTCTGCAGTGTTGCCAACGGCATTCCGGGTGGCCAAGAAAAGGGCCCCAAAAGTTCTTGGCACCACCCTTGTGGTTGGTTTGCTTGCAGGAATGGGATACTTTGCTTTTATGCTTTTCAGAAAGAGACTTGGCAGCATGATATTAGCTCTTAGACCTAGACCAAATTATTTCTAGGATTATAGGGATCTGGTGGGGGCAATTCATCCAGCCATTCAGCTGGACACTTGTCCACTCTTCCAGGCCCAGTGAAGAATTATCAGGGGAAACTAGAAAAAAGCATAATTTATTTTACTCTTTGGGTCATTTATGTGGGGAGAGGAGGCTGTGAAAATGTTTAGTGGGCTGATAACTTTGCGATTACTTATTTGCAAACCCTAAACTAACCCATTCTCAAAAAATGTTCAAGGTCAAGATATATAAATGCTGGCATATAGAGAAATGCCAATTGAAATTCTGAAATATTGGGAGGAGATTTATTATTATGAATAGATGGTAATAATAACTTGTGCTTTCCCATAATTCTTCATCCAAGACTATCTGGAGGTACTAAATGTTGAGTAGCTAATAGTGTTTTCCCCTGGAATTGGAAAGTCATCTTCGTTACAAATGTAGGGGTTCAGACACCAGTAGGCCACAGCTAGTTTTAAGGAAGAAATGAGCCAAAGGGGAGAAGGAAGAATGAAGTCTGTACAGTGCAGAGCCGTAGACTGCAAGTGCCGGTGCCTGTAAGGTAACTCCGAGTTGCCTGCCTCTTGGTAAACTTTGCATTTCCCCGCTGTGGCCGCTGCCCACACCCTTCTCTATGGAGACCCCTCAGAAGGGGAAGGCTGGGGAGAGTGGGCTGGAAGGAAGCCTGTGCTTTACACTTACAGCATTCATTTTAAATGTACATGAATCACGCTCACTAATTTAATAGGATTAGCTGCTTATATACCTGATTATAATATACCTATAGGAACGTGTCTGCCTGGCATTTACATAAAATCTTAACCAATTATATTAAAGTGGTTCCCTGTTTTTCCTTATGGTTCCTCAAGTTAATGGTGCCTGTGAGCTGTCACTCCTGGGGATCATAGTGTCCAGTCATAGGTGGAGACAAGGGGCGATGAATTTGTCTCTGTACCCCTCTTTATGCACAGAAGGGTATTGAAGAGTTTGTCCCAGATAATCAGCACAGCATGTGGCTGGGGAGTGGGCATCTTGATGATGTGGAAGTACTAAATACCAAACACCTTCACTCTGCACTTGGGGAGACTGGTATGTTACTTCAGAAACTCATCCAGGTCTTCAGTCTGTTGATGGTTATGAACAAAGCCTTACACGGTGACAGAGAAAGATTTAGTCTTGTTACTGTTAGGTGCTGTTGAGTCTGCTCCAACTCATAGCAACCCTGTGTGCAATAGAACAAAACGTTGCCCCGTCCTGCGCCAGCCTCACAGTTCTTGCTAGGACTGTGAGGTTTAAGTCTTAGCCCTTGGCAATTAATTTAAATGAACAAACAAAAAACCTCATTGCCATCAAGATGATTTTGATGCCTAGTGATCCTGTAAGGACAGAGTAGAACTGCCCCATAAGGTTTCCAAGGCTCTGATCTTTAAGCAGACTGCAACATCTTTTTGCCCTGGAGCAGCTGGTGGGTTCAACATGCTTTGAGTTCAAAGCTGAGGGCTTTAACCGTTGTGCCACTGGGGCTCCTTGGCAATTGATTCAGAGGAGCTGAGGTAAGTGGACAGTGATGTCCACCCATACTCATTCCTATATGTTGGATTGTTCTGGGGCACCTCATTCCATTTGGGAGGGACTCTCTCCACATGCCCCGTGAACAAACATGGAGCTGCATTATACAGTTAGGTCGGTTTGTGAACAGTAAAATACCTTCATGTGACAGGAATGGCAGTTTCTCTGGAGCTTATGAGCTATATCAGGTCTCAGGCACATAGCATGCATAGAGATGAGGAGCTAAGGTTCCAGTGAACAAGAGCCTGGTTGGACTGCCTCAGACTGGCTGTGGCTTATGAATAGGAGACAGTAATACCTAGGAAACAGTGACTTGATGGTAAATGAGTCTATAATTCCATTTCATGATTTAGTTGTTTTAGAAAAACTTGATGAACTGAATCTTCTGAGTTTACCAAAAATTAATAATATCTCCAGAGCAAACTCAATCCAATAACAGTGCATGGCCCATCAGCTTTTATAGTGTCTTAATTTTTGCACATCAGTGCACCGTACTATAGAGTATTTGAATCTATTTGTTGCTGGAACACTTCACTACATGTATTCATAAAAAAGCCACAGAATTGATTACTCAGTAGTTCATAATGTCTCAGAGTTCTGATAGAATCACTCATTTAGAATCAAGAACTGAAATGTGAAGAAATAAAAATCTACAATATTTATCTGTGAAAGGGTTGTTAAGAACAAAGAGGAGTCCAGTGCTGGATTTTCCTTCAATTTATTTATTATTACTGACAAAGATAATATACTAGGAAGTGGTTATAATCTGTTTATACAGTTTCCTTGGAAATATGCTGGTGTTTATGTTAAAGTGATGATGTATCATGGCAATTTCACTGTTCTGTGAGTACTCTTGTTTATACTTTTAAAATGACAGAATGACCACTAGATGTCGCTGTTTATCCAGTAGTCTGAGATTGGGCATTCCTTAGGTTCAGCAAGCCTTAAAATGTTTCTAGTGAAAATAAACATTAGTAACCTTAGTTTCTGAAGTGAGGGCATCTTTATCAGATCATTCATCTGTAAAAAAGCTTGGGATACATATATTGTTGATTTCTGATGCTTTGGAAAAGCATACAATATCAAACTAAAGGTTGATCACATACTATACACTAAAGAGGCTCTTCTTTGTATTTTCTTTTTCATGATCATTGATGACTGGGCATTGTGCTCCTCAGTTTCCAAAATTTGTGTAACTATCATGATGAGAATAAAATGCCTGAGACACTAAAGTTATGTTGGCTGCTTATGTCTTAACACACGAATACTATTTTATTGTTTATTGTATTTATATGCCTCTTGAATCAATTTCCCACAATCACAAATAGTTATAAATTGCTTGCTCAATTTTTAGTAATTACTGATATTGACACAAGAGTTGTAGTTTTTTGCTATTGTTGAATGTAATATAAGGATCAAAATACTGTTCTGCTTGTAAGATCAATAAAAGTTACTGGAAAATAAATACGAATCCTGAAACAAAGTTCTTGCTTTGTAATCTTTTTTGAGAAGACAGAGCTGTTTGTTTATTAAATTAAAAATCTAATCATAATATAGGAGCTCTGGTAGCATAGTGCCTAAAGCACTTGACTGCTAACCAGAAAGCTGGTGGTTCAAACCCACCAGCCACTCCTCGGAAGGAAGGTTGGGCAATCTACTTCCCTAGCGATACTGCCTCGGAAACCCAAGGAGAGGTTGCTGTGAGTTGGGTCCGACTCGACGGCACATAACAACAACAACAACAACCATAACGTGATCATTATTCAAACCAGTTGCTGTCTAGTTGCTTAGAAAGTCTAAAATAAGCAGAAGCTAAGTATCTAAAAGTTTAGTTATAGGATGCCTTAGTTTTCTTATAACATAAAAATGACTCATGATTCACTTAAATGTACATTATTTTAGGGTTAAAAAGAATGAAAGCCTAAAAAATATATTGATTCTCATTTTTAAACTAATTTTTTTGCTGTCAGCTACCTAACAGCTAACAGCATGAAAACGATAAACTCCGAGGGAGTATTTATCTTAGCAAAATCCATTTATTACATGTTTGTTGGGTTTCAATTATTACTCTTCTTATGATATTTATGTATATTTTTGACATAGCTAATTTTCTTGCTTTTATTGAATTACAGGTAATAAATATTCAAATTAACATCCATATTTCTAGCTTTGGTAAGCTTAGCTATTGTAATCATTAAATAAATATTGAGTAAATATTGAGTACTACTGTTGTTTTTCAGTGAACAAATAAAATTAAATGGAAAGAAAATTGATCTTGTTTTCTCAAGAGTTTGCACATAAAAGCAAAAGACAACAATACTTAATTCTAATAGAAAGTCAAGTAAATATGTAATTCTGTAGTCTTCTAAGAAGAAAAAAAGCCCACCATGGCAAAGACACAAAAGTCAAAGTAATGCAGTGAACTAAAATGATGGTTCAAACCCACCAGCCACTCCTCGGAAGGAAGGTTGGGCAATCCTACTTCCGTAGTGATACTGCCTCGGAAACCCAAGGAGGGCTCGCTATGAGTCGGGTTTGACTCGACGGCACATAACAACAACAACAAATCAATATTTAGACAAAACCTTCATATTATTTATGCCATATGTTTTGGTTACTTTGTGCTGCGCTAACAGAAATACCACAGGTGGGTGGCTTTAACAAACAAGAGTTTATTCTCTTGCAGTTTTGCAGGCTAGAAGTCCGAGTTCAAAGCTCCAGCCTCTAGGGGCTGAGTGAAAGCCCCTCAGCCTTGTGCTTCAGCTCTGCCTCTTGATCCTGGCCCACTGAAGCTGGAGGCTTTCTTCATCCAAATCCAAGGCCGACAAGCAAAAAGGCACAGTCTCAATATTACCAAACCACATGGTAGGCCATTGATTCAAGTCCATTAAGAGTCCCAAGATTGGCAGACAACATGGCAGGCTGCTGAATAATGGCTCAGCTACATGCAGGATTCAAGCATGCCAAAAGCTAGAGACCTTCCTCAAAGTTGTTTCTTATATACTGGAAACAGACCACATTTCTAAAGCAGCTACTCAGCTGCTCTAGTAGATTCCACCATGGAATTGATTACCAATCTCACCATGGGGAATAACTATATCCATCTGCCTAGCCACTCAAAACCAGGCCCAGCCAAGTTGATTAACCTTAACTACCACACCATATGTTTGGCCCCATTATATTGCGTCTCTACTTCTTCATGTCAGTATGTCTTAATTTTCTAATTCTCAAACAGTTGAGTTTTACTAGGCAAGGGTAGTGGATTTCAAGCCAAGTGAAGGAATATAATTTATGGAATGCAAATAATAGTTTTAATTGTGCACCACATTATGAAAATGAGCACACACACACAGAGAATATAAGTAAGTAAAGGTATGCATTGGTAAAAGAAATAATCTGTATTACTTGTGTCTGAGTTGAGTTTTGACCTGGATTTTGTCTTAGGAAGGAGGAAGGCTTGAGACATGGTCAAGAAAGCAGGGTGT